GAAAATTAGTTTCTCGTTGGATACCAAACCTGTTGACTGAAGAGCAGAAAGCAGCCAGGGTTAATTGTTGTTAAAAAACGCTGGTCCGTTTAAATTCCGGAAACTCAAAAAACGTGTACAGCATTGTTAGTGGTGATGAATCGTGGATTCACTGTTATGAACCAAAAAATAAACGACAGTCGGCTGTTTGGGTGTTCCAAGGTGAAGAAAAGCCAACAAAAGTCATCCGTTCTCGAAGAAGATGGTCGCGACATTTGTGTCAAAAGCGGGTCATATTGCAACATTTCCTCTTCATGAGCAAAGAACTGTTACTGCGGATTGGTATAACACCATTTGTTTGTCATTACAGAGCTTCGAAAAATCAACCCCGAAAGAAGAATCATCCTCCACCAAGGCAATGCAATCTCGTACACAGCCCATAATTGAACATAATACGCAACACGACTTTTCCTTCAATATTTGGATTGGAATCATTAGTGACCACTTGATTGGCCCTCATTTCGTTCCCCCCAGACTTAGCGGCGAAGAGTAGCGCGGTTTTTGGAAATTGACCTACGTGAATTAATGAAGGAAATTCCTTTTAGAGAACGATATCACATGTGGTACATGCGTGGCGGTGCTCCTCCACACTTCAGTGTCGTTGCGCGAGAATACCTAGATAAGAATTATCCAAATCGATGGATTGGAAGAGGCGGACCACAGCAATGGCCGCCTAGATCGCCTGACATGAATCCTATCGATTTCTTTTTATTGGGACATTTGAAATCACTAGTATACAAGGCTCCTGTTCAAAGCGTAGAGGACTTGAGAGTCAGAATTGCCGAGTCATGTCTGACTATACAAAATACTCCGGGTATCTTCAGCAGAATGCGTCAGACAATGTGTAACAGACTAGACGCCTGTATTGAAGTCGACGGTGGCCACTTTGAACATTTATTGTACAAAAAACTGTTCGATATTTTCTATTGTTATCGTTCTATTCGAATGTCACTGTCTAAAACTATTGACCTAAATATTTTTTTTACAAAAATACAGGATAATACTATTTTCATCCACGTTCATATTGAGACAACTTGTTAAACATGCAAAATTTATCATAGGTTATACCAACTGTTCATAATCAAAGTCAAGGAAAAACAATCACGGCTTTTCTGTATCCTTGAAAAGCTTGCTGTCCTATTGATGTTTCTGAATTCTCTAGCACTTCGTGCAGATCTATTTCAGCATAAACATATAAAAATAAATTTGTCTTGAAATCGACCTTGTAAGAATCATGGTCAACATGACACTTCCTAACAAGTCATCCAGAGCGTTTTAACGTAATGTTTATAATACTGACTCTCAGAGTTTTTGGCCTGAAGACTTCAGTCGACACATTCACCATTTTTGCAAGCCAGACAAACTTTGGCCGCCCATTTCTCAGAAACTATTCATAGGTTTGCTTTCGTCCCTTGGGCACATTTGTTCGGAAAAGCCTCAGGTACATCATACTGAATTTTTCTCCGATCAGGCAAGTAGGCGTGGGAAGAAAACCCCATTTCACATTTTGACGTTTATTGAGGTGAACAGCTCATCAGTTAGTGATATATTTGTATTAGTCTGCAACTTAACATAACTTAAATAAGCTTTTCTAAATAAAAGTACTGTGAGAAAATACAAAATAAATCTGTAGCAGACAAGGGAACAACTAAAAGCCCCAGTAGCCGATCAGAACTGTCCCAAATAGGACGATCCTATCCATCGATAGATTATCGGAAAGTTACTCTTCAAACGTTCGGGCTATTAGCGAACGATTTGGCAAGGTGCGCCGCGACAGCGAAGGCATCGCCGACCACGCCGGCGGCTCCAGTAATGCACTTTCACCTTAATTTCCGTTGTAAGGAATCGAATTTAGGAATGACACTACGATGAAAGGCTTTTTAGGAGTTGCGCCCTTTATTTCTTTCCTGGCTGCCGGCCGGCGAATCTTCGCACGCCACCCAGCGATCGATTCGTTATGAAACAGAACATATACAAGTAATAACGTTACGATAAAAGCCGCGGTCACACATATTTTTGCAGAATAGTAATAATAATAAAAATAGTAAAAACTTGGTCAAGGCAATTAACACCTACGTATAATAATAATAATAACAAAATGTCTTTATTAGGCACATTGTAAGAACTGCAATATAATGTGATCTCTACGTAGGCGAAGTCTAACGCTTGGCTACCCCCTTTCAATGATTTTCTGCAAATTTAATAGTTTATTGATTGTGTAATTTCACTCGTATTATATCTATATTGCTATAAACAAGGATAGTCAAACACTTATTGTCGGCGGCCGATCGTCATTCCCCCAGCTACCACAGAGCAGCAACTATACAGCAGTACCCGTTCGTGACCGGCAGCGGCTCGCCAAAATTTTTCGTTTCTTACACGGCCTTCCTGACGGCTGCGACGTTCTCGACGCCCTCTGCACCACAGGCCGAATCCGTGAATCAAAAGCATATGCAAAACACTCCGTGTACTTGCCACAACTATTATCTCACAAATATAATTCAAATCTGAATTAACCACTACCGGTACTAAGACCAAAATTCACAATTCGATTAAAGAATTGTACGTAAATTCAATTAAATAAACCTTTAACAGTGACGGCAACGACCGTCTCTTTAAAATAACAACTCTAAAACTTTAGTACTAGTAGCTCTACTACTAACAAGACAGAGACCAATCTTACAATATCCCAGGAGACCTTAGCCTTCAGCTGGCTCTGCTACTGACGAGACAGAGACCCTAATAACAGTATCCCTGAAGACCTCAGCCTTCAGCTGGCTCTGCTGCTGACGAGACAGAGACCAAACTAACAGTATCCCTGAAGACCTCAGCCTTCAGCTGGCTCTGCTGCTGACGAGACAGAGACCATAAAAACAGTATCCCTGAAGACCTCAGCCTTCAGCTGGCTCTGCTACAGACGAGACAGAGACCAAAATAACAGTATCCCTGAAGACCTCAGCCTTCAGCTGGCTGTGCTACTGACGAGACAGAGACCAAAATAACAGTATCCATGAAGACCTCAGCCTTCAGCTGGCACTGCTGCTGACGAGACAGAGACCATAATAACGGTATCCCTGAAGACCTCAGCCTTCTGCTGGCTCTGCTGCTGACGAGACAGAGACCATAATAACAGTATCCCTGAAGACCTCAGCCTTCAGCTGGCTCTGCTGCTGACGAGACAGAGACCAAACTGACAGAATCACTGAAGACCTCAGCCTTCAGCTGGCTCTGCTGCTCATGAGACAGAGACCATAATAACAGAATCCTTGAATACCTCAGCCTTCATCTGGCTCTGCTACTGACGAGACAGGGACCATAATAACAATATCTCTGAAGACCTCAACCTTCAGCTGGCTCTGCTACTGACGAGACAGAGACCAAAATAACAGTATCCCTGAAGACCTCAGCCTTCAGCTGGCTCTGCTACTGACGAGACAGAGACCAAAATAACAGTATCCCTGAGGACCTCAGCCTTCAGCTGGCACTGCTGCTGATCAGACAGAGACCATAATAACGGTATCCTTGAAGACCTCAGCCTTCAGCTGGCTCTGCTGCTGACGAGACAGAGACCGTAATAACAGTATCCCTGAAGACCTCAGCCTTCAGCTGGCTCTGCTGCTGACGAGACAGAGACCAAAATAACAGTATCTCTGAAGACCTCAGCCTTCAGCTAGCTCTGCTGCTGACGAGACAGAGACCAAGATAACAGTATCCCTGAAGACCTCAGCCTTCAGCTGGCTCTGCTGCTGACGAGACAGGGACCATAATAACAGTATCCCTGAAGACCTCAGCCTTCAGCTGGCTCTGCTGCTGACGAGACAGAGACCATAATAACAGTATCCCTGAAGACCTCAGCCTTCAGCTGGCTCTGCTGCTGACGAGACAGAGACCAAACTAACAGAATCGCTGAAGACCTCAGCCTTCAGCTGGCTCTGCTGCTGACGAGACAGAAACCATAATAACAGTATCCCTGAAGACCTCAGCCTTCAGCTGGCTCTGCTGCTGGCGAGATAGAGACCATAATAACAGTATCCCTGAAGGCCTCAGCCTTCAGCTGGCTGTGCTGCTGACGAGACAGAGACCATGTTACAACATCCCTAAAGACCGCAGCCTCCAGCTGGCTCTACTACCGACGAGACAGAGACCAGGTTGCAGTTTCCATGGAGATTTTGGCCTCCATTTGGCTCAACTTCTGACGAGATAGAGACCAACATAAAGCAAGACAGCACATCGCAGAATTTAACCAGATATTTGCTGACGTGGTTATTCCTCAGCTTCCAGAAACTCAAGTGTATCTCCCATATCAACATTGGAGGACCACTGTATAGGCCATGATCGTAGCTGTTCCTTACCTGCCTTTGTTATGATGGTTGTTCCAACCTTCTTAATCTCATAACGTCCATTTTTCAAGCACTTAACCACTTAATAAGGATCAAGAAACTCATAGTCGCTCTTGCTTATGTGCATCTGAGAGTTCCGGTGCATCAGTACAAAATCACTGACCGAAAACTGCACTTTGTCCCTTCTTTTTTTGTTCGCAGTGTTGTAATTTTATGCGACGAATAGCCTCTTCGCTAATCGCTGTCGATCCAAATCTTGGTCGTGCAAAGGAGTTAGATCCTTAGACACATCCTTCAACACAGCTTGTATCATCGGAGTCGGGCATCGGATACCCAAAAGCAGCTACAAAGGAGTTACATTTATGGATCTTTGCTTAGTCGAGTTGAGAACAAGTTGGATTTTCCATAGTCCGTTCGGCCATTCTGTCCTTATTTGGGTTTCAAATCTCATAAGACTCCTAATGGTTCGCATATAGCGTTCCACCTGCCTATTTCCCCTATGCACATCTGAAGTTACAAAATGGTATTCCATGCCCCATCGATCCAGGTACTTTCGAAACGTGGTGTTCATAAATGACGTGGCAGCGTCCATTATTATTCGTTTGGGAGTTCCAAACAGCGCTAGAACATCATGCAGCTTTTCAGGCGCCTCTGCAGTGTTGTCACAGACTTCATAGACGTCAAAATGCAGTACTTCGTAAAAGCATCCACCATTACCAAAACGTGCTTATAACCACCATTTGAAGCTGTTAAGGGACCCAAGCAGTCCATGTGCGTATGAAATGTCCACTGGTCGTATGAACCCCCGTAGAGGACCTGTTCTTGTCTTTTTCTTACTGCACAAATTACACAGTCCTTGATGTAGCATTTGATGAAGTTTCTCAACCTTGGAAACCAAAAATGTTGAGCGATAGACTCGTATGTCTTTTCAGGTCCCACGTGACACTGCTCATCATGGAAAATGCGCAGTAGGCCTAAACGATTGACGAACAGCATCCTTTTCATTGGCGAATTTTCAGGCTGACATTATTCACTGCACCAACTTTATTGCCTGTTGTAATCATGCCACTATAATCTTGCAGTATAACTTCAAGACCTACGCAATGTTCTGCAGGTACTTCAACTTCTGTGACTAAAGCACCAAAATCTTCTGAAACGCGATTTATGCCAGGCAGCTGACGTCGCACAACGCGTGATCCTTGATGATCTGTTATGGTGGCGAGACTTTCATCTTCAAAAATATTACGCCTCACAAAAACATCATACTCGAAACACTCGCCAAAATAAAAAATAAACACATCGGAATATCAACACCAGAAATTTTCGCGCAACCCGTATACTTCTTTGTACCCTTAATGGTAACGTTAGCTAGTCCTTTCAAAATAACATTGCAGCTAACAACCTTATTATCAAATAGGTAGAGGAACTTATTAGATGATAAATCAGGTCCAGTATCAACTAAACAGAAAAAATGATAACCATCAATTAATATTTCGGTGGACCCAACTGGTTCTCCACTAGAACAAAAGTTTATGTTGCGCGGTTTATCAATAGCTACTTTGGTAAAGCAATTCGATATGCTGTGACCTTTCTTAGCACAAAAACTACAAATCTCACAACTATGAGATGTGCTTGGTAAGTCTCGCTGACCTATGGAATTGTATCTGTCGTCTGATACCAATTTAGTTTTCTTCACACAATTCTCTTTAAACCGTGGAAACACTTCTTAGAGTTTTTAACAAAACCACCGTTTTGCTTGTCAACAGATTAATATTTCCTTTTGAGAGAAGAAGAATCACTTTCAGCTATATTTTGTCTGTCATTGCACGAAGGTTCAACAAAAGGTGACAAGAAAAACAATAATTCAGAAATAGTTCTGCAGCATTGCGCACCTCTAGTTCAGAGATTCTATAAACAATGAGTTCGATCAAATCACTTTCGCACCAATTTGCACGTAAATTTTTAAGCATAGATGATTTCTCATGCACATAACTTTCATACGTGTTGACAAAAGAACTGTTAAATTTTGCTGCCACCTCCAACAAACGACCCAAGCTTCTTTTAGGAGGAAACGCCTCAGCAAAGTGAACTCGAAAAGTAGCCCAATCCCTGTTGTCTGGGTTCCAACGTTCGAACCACCTCTTTGCACCGCTCAATAAAAATCCAACCATCCAACTTTGCGCTTAATGACTTCAATTTGACTTACCCATTTACTGCATTCGTTTATTTCGGGTCTAAGGTAGGGCAAATCTACCTGTTCTGCTGACCTTTGGGACTGCAACGCCTTTACCAATTCTGCTACCAGCGACTGGGTGGGGTCTTCGTCGTTTGAGGCCATCGTTAAATTGAGTTTCCTCATCAGGAACACCAAGACTTGATCCGAACACACAACGCAGCACCGACTTTTTTTAAAACTATGACACAGCAATCACAACGATGTACCGTTATCCTTTGTTCTCACAAGACGAAGAAAACGTCAATGTTTTTAAAACAAATCACAATCCACTGTGGTTGTCTGGGCACAATCCCACTTCTGATGTTAGAAACACGGATAGTCAAACACTAATTTTCCACCAAACAACTTGTGTTAGTAACAATAATAATAGCACAACTATTTAACGTAATTTCGGAGCGGCAGATTATCCGACCACGACGTGCACTGCTCGACTTTACAGCTCGCTCTGCCAGAGTCGGCGGCCGATCGTCGTTCCCTCAGCTACCACAGAGCAGCAGCTACACAGCAGTACCCCTTCGTCACCGGCAGCGGCTCGCCAAAATTTTTCGTTTCTTACAATATCTTTCTTTCTCAGCGATTCAGTATGGTGTTGACGATCAGCAAAAAACTCTGCAGTTTTTCTCCGTTAGTTGGCTTCCTATAAAACATATCTTCTTCAAGGCCACTCAAGATTTATTTCTCTAGAACGTTACGTATTCGGTGATCCGCTTTTCAGCGTCCGTTGAGGTCGTGGGCCAGGGGTCTCTTTGTCGTTTTCCAGACTCTGGGATATAAAGCCACAAGCACCCATTCATGGATTAGCACCCTTTTCTTTTTGTTGCGTAACTTAAGTTTAGTTATTTTTTTATGGGATTTTGTCCCTCAGCGGTAAGTTCTTTTTTGTATACCTTCGGACAGCGTGCCTTAATGTGTATCCTGATGACGTTCATTCAATATCTGCGTTCTTTTTGTAAAGGCATTTGTTTCCTTCTGATAATCTCCACTATAGAATCTCAAACTCACTACTCGTTACAGTTTGATTATAGTTGCTTTCTTTGACAATGAACCGATGACAATGTTCTTTGATGGAGTCCAGTTGCAGTTGGTCGGCATTTCTGAGTTCTACCAAGACGTTTTTCAAACAGATCGTCGCATTTAAGTATTAGACGCACAAATGCTCCAAACGGAGCATGTTGAACTGCACAGCCAGTCTGTACATATCCATCATCCTGAGAACAATTCTGTTAGAGATAGGATCCTCGCCATCCTTAGCTTTTTTGGTAGGATCAATACAATCCATATAAATGTAGTTTAGTACCATTACTACATTACACAACTATCTATAATCAACATTTTTGACCCATCAATATGTCCTTTTTTTAATTACAGCGTGCAAATGATTGGTAAACGCGCAACTACTTTTTCTAAAGTGGATGGGGTTGTTTTTTGCCATTCGTCTTGTGATATTCTTCATAAGATGAAGGACAACATTTCCGTACTTGTCTTTTTTTTATACTCCAACTACCACGAAGGCCTAAGGCCTAAGCACCCATTGGGTACCGTGAGGCTATAGGGGGATACATGGGAAAGGGAGGGACACCACACGGAGTCTGGCGAGGGAACACGTGTGCATGCAACATGCACAAATTCTGGCCCGCCTAGGAGAACCGCCTTGTGGTACCTCCGCGATCGACAGTCAGAGACCATCTACCACCTACGGACAATCACAACATCCATAACCAAGAGAAGAATTTCTCCTGGGACGGGACTCGGACCCGCACAGCGCACGGCGACTGATCAGGAGACCGAAGAGTCTACTACTGCGGCCACTCTATCGGATACAAATTCGGGAATTATGGAGGCCAATGCATGACTTTCAAAATATGTTGTTCTTCTTTTGCTTATAAAGCTTGGATGTGTTTGGGGTCACCAAAAGTGACTTTCAGTATGGCCTTCAAGGTTAAGTAAATATTTTAGTCCACAGATGGCTATAACCTATTCAAGGTCATCTCAAGCTTAATTGTTATTTGTAAGGCAGCATCCTGATTTGTATGCGAAAAATTTTAAAGAACAGGAGTATAAAGTATAAACTTTCAATGGAGTAAACTAGTAAAGTATCCATATTAAGAGAAGTAGGAGGCCTACCCTTGACAACAATCTTACTGGATGTGTATCGCGTGGAGGCTGTCGAATACACTACAAAAACTATTGACGCTGGAAAGGGCCGATGTGAGTTTTGGTCGTTAAAAGAGCTGATCAGAGGTTTTGCCCTAAAAAGGACAGATGAATAGTAAAGTGACCTTGATAGTTGTGGTCAAGGTCGATAAGACAAATAAAACCTCACATTTTTACGCCGAAATTGAAAACAGGGAGAAATGCTATGTCCAAATACTACATTGACCATGAGCATAACATTCAAGGTCACCATTGAGTGAGCCTCGTAAAACTCACAACTGTGCTGTAAAATATTTTAACTAGAGCAAATAGTTTTCAATATTTTCATTTGACCTCCAAATTTTATCTCGAAGATTTTAGAATCCAGCATACAATAATAATATTGCCTTAATTCGAATCTTTTACAAATAAATTTTAACGAGAAATAGTCGATCTCTCGTTATACTTACCACTTTGAAGTTGAGTCATTAATTTTCAGATAATGATTGTAGAAGAAAGATAAACCAAAATATGTGTGTAAAAATAAGAAAAAAATTAAAAAAAAAATTTCACCTTGTTTTATAAAGTATTCTCCCGACAAGTATTTCAGTGCGGACCTGTATTTGATCGTGAGGTCTTGGAGCACTGGCATGCCGTCCCCTGTGAGGTCTTAAGTCACCTGATTCACGAGCCCGTTGTACTACATTAACAAAGGCACGAGGGGTTGGTTGCACTCGATTGGGAAACCGATCCGCATAAACATGTGCCATTTTTCATTTCGTTTGAGCCACGCAACAGACACCACTATTCACTCACGCGTTACCGACTGACACTGACTTTATACAACTGAATAAAATAATTGTAAAAACATCGTTCCAAATTCTTTCGCTTTTTTGTTTCCGATGCGATGAACCGATAAGGCGGATTATATCCGTTGTTGCCAAACACGAGCACATAATATTATTATTGAGACAGGGCGGTACTCAAACTTCCAAAGGGCTATAACTTTGTTACTTTAATTTTACCAGAAAAATGGTGAAGGAAGAAAACATTTCTTTTGATCAGATCTACTCACTGTTAAAATAAATGACTCAACTTCGAAGTCACCCTGTATATACTTATACAAGAAGAGCTTTTTATACACTGCAGCCGAACATTACAACAATCTACTCAGTTAAAGCCTAATGAATTTTAAGGAAAAATTGGAAGCAATGCTTCTTCTATCTACCTTCTCTACCTGATCATAATGAGATCAATTTTCAAAAATTCAAAAAATAGAATTCTTCTGACTTTATATTGAATGAATTCAACCATGTATGTATGTGTACTTGAATAGACTTAAACACTGTCCGGCAAATCCCTGTATAGCTTTGTTATTGTACGACTCTGTTCTTATCCTTGATTGTCAATTTAACTCTTGACTGAGTTGAAAAATACCTCAAGGTAATACCCCGCTATTTCGATTCTTCAATTTCAAATGTTAGTACCTCACCTTACTCAAAATAAAAAGTTATTTGTGAAAAGATGGAACTAAGGCATTATTATTGTTATTATTACTAAATGGCATTGAAGGTCATGGCCATGATCAAGACCATACTTGAACGTAAAATTTTCTCCTCTTTACAAA